GAAAAAAAAAAGTATTTGTGTTTGTGCACATGCTTACTTTTTTATGTATGTAAGCTTGTTAGATGATTTTGATTGAGAAGTGTTACACAGATTCTTTAGTGTATAGCTTGTGATATGTGTCTTCTCACTTACAACACCTTCAGATCATTGAGGCAATGAGCAACAGGCGTGTTAGCTTATAAATTCATTTTAAGTAGACACATCCCAATTAATTACAATTTAAGTAACTGCATTTCTGTATTATGCTTACGTATTGAATTATAATGCGTCTCCGTATGCAATTCATGATTACCCAGCCATGATAGATTGAACTCTTTTATTCTGAAGTCTAAGGCATTCACTTCATGCCTTCAGCTCATGATGAGCTATTTGTCTCCCTATCCAGGAATTTCAGCATTGGTCAATGCATACGATGAATTCTTACAGATATGGACTATCTGGGCAAGAGAGTTCTCCTTATTATGGTGTTTATGAGAACATTGACCATGCTTCGAGAATGGATTTTAGCAGGAGAGGCTGGGACTACCCTTCAGTAACAAACACAGAAAATCCTTTGATTGTAGATGCACCACCTACTGTTTCCACTGTGCATACTAATCCCGAAGAATGTAAGTACTCATTTATATTTTTGTTTAATATTCAGAAAACAAGGAATATGATACTAAATTTTGGTGAATTTGCATGTTCTCTAAAAGTCTTCTCATATTGTGACCAATGTCTCCCAATAGCTGGGTTCTCGCTCAACACTNTGTTGTTAGTTTAAGATTTTGCTGACTATTTCTAAATGCGCAGGCACGCCAGATCAAGAAGATGCTGTTGAAACTCGGGTTTGTATTTTTAAAAATCCATTGATTTTTATGTCTTTATTTTCTGCATATCAGTGCTGATAAGCGAAATTGACATGGCAATGAGAAAAATAAACCTGCTGTAGAGTATAGATTACTGTATCTTGTTTCATATGCTGAGGTGATACTACATAAGTTATTACTTCTTGGTTTCTAGTGATTCAAGAGAACTTTGAAGTTTGATGTTTCAGGTGCATTAAGATTAACACCATAGTGATAACCGAACTAAGAGTTGACGTGAAATTAAAATAGAGAAATTTTATGCTATCTCTTGGCTGGTAAAAGTAAAGGGAAATTCTCCATAGTCAAAGAAATTATTGCAATACCGATGCTGGAAATCCTGGACTTATTTGAAAGCTTTTGCTGCTTAGAGAATCTCACAAAACTAGTTGTTGTATTAACTTATCTCTGACAGTTTGTTGAAGTTTAATAGATGCTATTGACATGGATCCCTTTATATAATAAGAAAGTTTAAAAGGTGAAATGAATCTGAAACACAATCACTTGTTTTGCCTTTGCAAGGCATTCATGCATGGTCATGTTAACTGATGTTTGTTTATTTAACTTAGTGTTTTGTGGTTTGTGTTATTGTAGGTCTTCTTGGAAGATGATATTGATCCAGATATAATGACTTATGAGGTAGGCAAGTTTGATTCATGTCTATAGCTTTTCTTTTACTCTGCCTTATTTGGTACTTACTACCAAATTTAATAGCAACTGTAATTTGAATATGGAACCTTCCACTCGGATAGCAAAAAGTTGGGAAAAAAAGATTTCTATAGTACAATAAGAAACTGAATGTGACTTGGGGTTCCTGTAACTGAGGTTTTCCACTTGGTGACATCAAAATATTTTTTTGTTTCAGTAGGACCAAGCTTTTGTAAAATAAATACTAATAGTGCAATAGAAGTCTTTAATCCATGTTTTTTTTTTGGGTGTGTGTTGATGTTCGTATCATGCTATAGCTTTACACTGATAACAAAATAGTCATAATGCAATCCCTCATAAGGGTTTTCAAACTCTTAACTCACAGCTTATCCAGGCTTTGTGAGACCTTTTCTTGATTTTCTGATGTGCCTGTTATTCTCATTCTGCTTATGTAGGAATTACTCGATTTAGGTGAGACAGTGGGAACTCAAAGTCGAGGACTCTCGCAAGAGCTCATAAACCAACTCCCGATTTCAAAACACAAATCTGGTGGAATTTTCTCAAGAAAAAAATCGGGTGACAGGTGACATTCTCTATATTCTCATTCTTTCAATGGCCTTGACTCTTTATTTCTTTCCTTATTGTTTCAGTCCAAGTTTAAAAATCATATTGTTTTTACTTGTGTGAGAAAACAGATGTGTCATCTGCCAAATGAGATACAAAAGAGGTGATAGACAAATCAACTTGCCATGCAAGCATGCATACCATGCTAATTGTGGCACCAAGTGGCTTAGTATTAACAAGGTAAATTCGACCAATTTAATGTGCTTTAGAAGAAAAGTCAAAGAAAACAATGAGTTATTGTCTTTTCTTTTTTCCTCCTCTCTTTCTTTGTTTTTTCAAAAAAACATTATATATGATTCTAATCTAGCTTATTCTAATTCTTTCCAGACTTGTCCAATATGCAGTACTGAGGTGTTTGGTGATGAATCAAGCCATTGATTATATCAGTTTAACAACCCCATGGTGAATAGGTTCTTTCTTATACATTATTTTTGTTCTGTTCTCTTGATACATAGAGGTATAATAGAGAGTTCCTAGTTATTTCTTTTCTCCTGTGGTGTAGAAAACCTACTTTAATATATAAAATTCTAAGATTTTTTCTCTTTCTTTTTCCTTTGTTTTCTAATTTGAAAAACTGATAATCACTTAGTTGGTTTATTTGGCATAATATTATTATGCATTGTCAACTTACTGACTTGCCCCAATTTTTTTTATTTTAACTGAAGTTTAAAAATATGAAACTTTGGAAATGAATATACTGGATTGGGCTGTATGGGGGGTAAAAAGGGAGGGATAAAAATATAAGCAACCATTAGAAAAAATAACGCATTACAAAACGAATCTATAAATGCAAGGCTTTGCTAGGGAACTGCAATAGGCTAAAATTTTGCTGAACTACCGTTTTTCTTTCATAACATTGATAGTTTCTGAAGATTATTCTTCGTTTTTCACATTAAAGATAGCTCTCTATCTTTATAACACCCGATAGCTCTTTAAAAGGTATTTGGTCAGACGTTAGTATATATGATCGAGGAATTTGTTGAATGAATACTGATTTCATCAGCAAATACTTGAGCATTTCTAAGAACTAAAACCATAATCTGTAAATAAAACTTACCTTCAATTATGATCCTCATTACTAAGAGCACAAAATTTCGTTGGGCCATATTCTGTAGGAACAAATAAAAATAAAAGGATTAAAATAAGTTGTATCATTCCTTATTTTTACCTCAGAGTGTTAATGTAAGTAGTTGTGAACATAGCAATTCCTTATTTTTAACCTTTATTCTGAATCCTGAAAACTTTGCATGACATGATCCACCATTTGCAAATACTCCTACATTTGGAGGAACTAATTTATGGCCACCATAGAATGGAAACACGTGCAAAATGAGAATAACAACTATTTAAGCTGCTAATATAATAGTAGCTCTAACTACATAATTTTCCATAGAGGATGAGAGAAGAAGAAAAGCTGGTACACTTTACAATTAGAAGAGTCCCGTCCTTTTATAGGCTAAATAATATGAATGAAGAGGGAAAAATGCACAAGTGGGCAAGTAAATGGTAACTTATTGGTTGAGATGCGTAGTTTTCCCATGCAGGGTTAAAATTTATTTCTTTGAGAAAGTGGTCATAATTGGAAATCACATAGGCTGCCCAAGATGTCAAAAAGTTAATGCTTTGTCCGGTCTTGATGATGATTGAGGGCATTACTATTCACTGCCTCTCTTGGACAGTTTTGTCCCTAACATCTTTTTTCAAAAAGTAAAAAATAAAAAATAAAAAAATTATCCGGCCGCCGAAACCGGATGGCCCAAATGGCATCCGGCCGGTCGGACCGGACACGACTGTGTCCGTATGCGATTTACGGCCGTACAGACCGGTCCTTGGAACGGTCGTCCGGCCCCGAAGGCCGGTCGTGACCGGTCCGACCGGCCGGACACCTTTTTTTTTCTTTGAAAATAATATTATTATAAATTATTATGTTGTATATTCGAAATAATTTGTTGTAAATTGGACGTTAGAATAAAAAAAAATCATTCAACTGAAGTTTAGGAAATAAAAAAAAAAAAATCATTTAACTGAAGTTTAGGAAAACTATTACTATATATCTACATTATCTAACTAAATTTTTTATGATATAATTAATATAATATCTTAACTAATTAATCATTTATCTACCGGAATTATCTCTCTAACAAACTTGCCAATTTTTTTGAAATTAAAATGATATGACTATTCTTACGAAGATACTTACTAATATATTAAACATTTAGAATTTTTTTTAAGAAAATGAGTTATCCCTCCTTTTACTTTATTTGAAATTCTAAGTTTTATTTTAAATATTTTATTTTTTATTTTTTCTTACGTGGAAATGTTTATTTTTTATTATCTAAGTGATAAATATTATTGATTTATCTCTTTAATAAATGTTTATTATTTATTTTTTTCCTTACGTGATATAATCTAAATTTGGTTATTAGATTTTTAAATTCAAACATTTAAAGGAAAAGACCACAAGTAGATTTTTTGGGTACATTTTATTTTATCTTAACTTTCATATAATCACATTCCTAACAAACTAATTAATACAATTACAATATTTTAACTAGAATATTTAAAATATAACTAATATAATATTTTAACTAATTAAACTTTTGTCTAACCGAATTTATTTAATTAACAAACTTGCCAAAATTTTTGAAATTAAAAGAGTAAGATTATTCTTACGGATATGCTTACCAGAATATTAAACACTTTAAAAATTTTTGAAAACAATTTTAATTATTCCGTCTTCTACTCTATTTGAAATTCAAAATTAAAATTAGATTAAAATTTTAAACATATTCATAAACAAGCTAATTAGTATAATATTTTTTTACCCACATTTATATAATTTTATTTCTTAAAATATAGTTAATTTAATATTTTAACTGTTTAATCATTTGTATAACTTGATTTAACTCATTAACAAACTTGCCATTTTTTTTTAAATTAAAAAAAAAATTGGATGATTTTTTTTTTTTGTAAAATAATAAAAAATAGCATTACTTTAAAGTTTGAATTATTTCCATTATTTTTTGTACGTTAGCTATCATATAATGGATAATTGATTTAAAAAAAAAATCAAAACCGTAAGGTTTAATAATATTCCTTAAATAAAAAATATTGTATGAAAAGAAGTTTTTAATAGTATATATTTTTCATTGTTTGTAGTTATTTTATTTTCATAATAGACGAGATGTGAAAAATATAAATAATTATATTTAAAATAAAGTCTAAAAAAAGGTTTAAAATATGAGCTCCTACGTGCATCGCACGGGATATACACTAGTAAAAAAAGACAATTCAACTTAATGTTTTACAATATAAAAAAATTCATTCAACTGAAGTTTAGCAAATAAAAAAAAAAACCATTCAACTTAAAAATGAAAAAAAAAAATACAATTGATGCGATTTTCGATTGCTCTGTAACACGATCGTACATTCCCACGCTTCGAGACAAGCTCGTTCTCCTGAGTCGACCTGTCAGACTCTCAGGAGAACGAGCCTGTCTCAAAGCGTAGGTGTAACACCCCGCATTTTCTAACTTTTACCTACAAAAAACTGAGTAGATTTTCGCATTTGTTTTCGAAAGATGCTGATACTGTTTTCGAAAAATACTTATACTTAACTAACTTACGGGATGTTACTTACTTAATAACCAACTTCTTACTCTTTCCTTTTACTTATGCATGTACCAAAATTGATATAAAATCCAGCTGAAGAATATGGATAAGAGAAAATTAAACATGCATGCATACTAGTTCTAGGTTGGCAGTACGGAAGCGTAAATAATATACAGTACAGTTTGAAAATTATATTATTACATGCCAACATAAGCATAAACATAATTGAATGTCCAGCTATCTTCGGACACCACCACACCACCGCTCGGCTCACGCTCCGGCTGGACTTCGTCACCTGAGAAAAACATAATGGGAGCGTGAGCAAAACCACTAGACTCCGGCTCACGTTTGTTTAGTGGATTTATTCAACTTATTATTATTATAATTTATAAGTATTATTATAATTATTACAATTTATAAGTATTATATAATTATTACAATTAATTATAATTATTATTAGCAATTATTATAATTATTATAACTAATTCTAATTTATATTTATTATTATAATTAGTATAATTAATTCTAATTATTATTAGAAATTATCATTTTAATTATTATAATTATAATTATAATAATTATAATTCTAATTTATAATTATTATTATTATAATTTTTTTAATTTATAATAATAATAATTATTATTAATTATAAATAATAATTATTATTATTATAAAAAAAATTGTCCAGCTGGCTCGTGNTTTGCCGAGGCCGTAGAATTTTTTCGACATTTTTTCGGATTTTTTTTTATGCTCGAATCGTTCGTTGAAGTTCGGAAAATTTAGAGAGATAAAGTTTAGAGAGATGAAATCCAAAAAAGAGTTAAGGGCAAAAGAGTAAATGGGGGGGGGGGCGGTGACTAGTAATAGGGAGGCGGTAAATAGTAAATGAGTTCAGTATATCACGAACTAGTGCGTAGCCTATGCAAAGCACGGAGCAATAATTATAAATTATATATATTAAAACAATGAAGGGATATTGATTAGTATACAAATAGTTTGGAATATTAATAATTATTTTTTAGTTTATTTTATGATTTATAATAATTTAATATATGATTTATATCACTCATTATAAAATAAGTCTTACTTCAGATCATGTTTATAATTAAGGACAATGAAAATTTAGCATATTCAAGTATTGTAAATAAATATTACTCATCTCCATCTTATCTTGTTCATCCATTGTTACAACATATTATTTTGATTTCTAAATAAGTTAAGCTAAAGTTGAAAAATTGTGTCAAATATTATAATCATCCTGTCTGTTGCTTATGTTCCATAAGAAACACCCAAGTTCCTCTACTATAATCATCCAGAACACTAAGGAAGAAAGGTGTGTTTGTCAGTGCTTCTCTTTACAAGGTCCCCATATGTCAACATGTATCAATTCAAAGCTTGTTGTTTGAATATAAATCCTTCTAAATTGGTTGTCTGCGCTGTTTAGCTTGCAAACATACTTCACGTCTTTGCAATTGTCTCTCAATATCTTTCTTACCCCTTTCCTTTAGAAATCTTAAATGTTTCAATGCTCCCAATGATGCATGTCTTAGACACTTGTGTCATCCTTCCATTGTCATGTTATAAGTCACTGCTCTTCAGTCTTATTCCTCAACATATACATATTCCCCATCAAGTCTCTAGTTCCAACTACCTTTCCATTACTTTGATCATGCAAATTACAATGTGAACTACCAAAGACCCAAATTCAGATTCTTGTTCCCACACAGTTGCACTACTGATAGAACATTATACTTGAAATTAAGCATGTAAAGTACATCCTGCATCACTATATGCTTATTAATGACAACCTCACCCTTTGTTTCTACACCCTTCAAGGATCCCTTTGGAAGACAAGTATTTATTGGATTTTCAATTCTCTACATATTTCTCATAATTTTATCATTGATACATATATGCCTATTGACACCTATGTCAACAATCCATCTGTCCCTATTAGTTCCCTCAACTGTTGACAAAGCATAATAGATGTTATCCTCTCATCAATTCCAGCAAAACTTACAAATTGTGCATAATCTAC